CTCTTTCCCCTGATCTCATTTGGAAAAAATATTTTTTTAAAAAAGGTAATGTGACTTTTCTGATTTTCCTCTGGTTTTTCTCTGCTCTTCAAACATGCTCTTTTGTTTTCGTATTTCCCTTGGCTTGCCTTTTGGGAAAGAGCAACTTTTGACAATAATTTGTGAGAGTTTCTGGAAAATAACTGAAGTGTAAATAGAATTATGCTTTTATGCAAGATGTTGACTCTCAGTGCATGATGAGTTGGTCTGTATCACGATCTTTTTGAATTTGATTAAAATACTAGCTTTTTATGAACATTATATTTAAAATTTTAATCTTGATTGACTTTACTCTTATCAGTATTATAATGAACGTATAAAGTGTAAATTTTTTTCTGTTCATTTATGGGTAATTACAGTGGTACCTCTTCCAAAAGTATCTTTGCAACTCTGAATAGTCGTGTGTGTGTATGCATTAGAGATTGTAATATTGACAAAAATTATTTTACCTTAACTTTGGTATCTTTGAATAGTGTTGTGATTGTTTATAGTTTTTCTTTGAGTGTTAAATTGCTAAAGTAATAATAATAATAATAATCATAATAATAATCATAAATTCTGAATATGTACTGTGCAAAAATTGTGTAACATACATTAACAAGCAGGAATCAGTGAATCCAGATAATCCATTAGTTGATACATAATATCGTCCTGGATTGATTTATCTCCTAAAACTATAAGCTATTAACACAGGTATCTGCTATTTTACAGTAATATTTGAAGGTTAAAACTGAGATTTGGGTTGTGTGGTGCAGGATTAAGTGTTTATATAACCCCAGTTAATGCATTAGAGAATTTACAGAGATCTTTCACTTAGCCTCACAATTAACTTATCTGTAAAAATATCCCACCTTACTCTTAAAGAACCAAGACCCGCCTTCAGTGTCCCTGGAAGCTTGTGTCTAAGGAGTTTACACTGCAGTTCTGAATCCCATTCTTAACACTCAAACCATTGAGTGCTGGCTAGCGTGATGGAATTGGGCATAATAAAGCTCATCACTGTGTCCCAGACACAGCTGTTTTGACCGTTTCCATGTCTCATTTTCCTAGAAAAATGAAGAAAACCCAGAAGAAGACACAGCAGAGAAGAACATTATTAAGGGAGGGCAAGAAACATTGGTGAACAGTAAGCAACTTCACCTGTATGTTATGCATCCTGTGACCCAGAAAAGCAAAAAAGTACACAGAGTAGGTTCAACCACCTTTTTGGTTGGAAAGACACCCAAAGGAATCCGCAGGTGAGACTGTTTTGTTGAGATGGAAGTAAAATTCCTAGCTTGAAACAAACTTCTATCTGGGTGGTCGCTTTTGTCTTGTTTTCGCCATGGTCAGGGAATATTGTTGATTTTCTGTGGCAAGAGCAGAACTAATGGGAAACTTTCACTTGCACTGTACAGAGTACCATAATTGATTAATAAAATTAATTGAACCCATAAGTCACTTTAACATGTTGATTCAATGTGCCATATGTTACATAGCTGTACAGATGTCATCACCACCAGTATTAATGGTATGTGCACCATATTGTACTAGAATGTTTAAACTGTATAGAAGCAAAAAATTTTATAGTGTGAGCTTCTGACTGTCTATTGGTTTTGCCCAGCTCTCATCACTTTCATTCAAAGACTGTTAAAAGAAAATTGGACTTTGTATTTTTTTTTTAACATGGAGTTCAGTATTTTTTAATACTTCTTTTAATATGTTGTTTCCCCCGTCATGTTTGGAAGGATAATAATTTTTATGTCTCCTTGTTTTCCCTTTTTCCCCAAAATATTGCTGCTGTTAATGTAAATTAAATTCCATTGTCACATAGATAGAAGCTCAAGAACAATAGCCAGATGGTATGTAGAAATAGAAAGTGGGAAGATGTAGCTAACTAGGCAAACCTATAGAATTGGGATTTGTTATATATTTTTAATTTAGCCTTGATACAAAGAAATTGCTACATGAGAGTTGGTATCTAGGTAATATCTCTAAGTGTTCAGAATCTGTCACATTAGCCAGCCAGCCTCAGCTATACAAACTGTTGTTGTTGAAGTGCCAGGCTTGCTTACTATTACAGGTACTGAAAAGTTAAAATATTTAAGAGGCAGGTAGAGGATAACTCTGCATGCTAGGATTACTCAAAATTATAATCATACTTATCAATAATTTGTTGAGGTAAAAAATTTCAAAGGCAATGAAGTAATATGGGCTGTTATTCCAAGATCCTAAAGTCACATCTACCAAAATGCTTAAGCACATTCACTCTTAAACGTTAAGCAGGTCATCTGTTAGCCCTTCGCTCACAGTTGTACTTTGTGGTACATCTGGATCCACTGTGCAATGAATGAGGTTGGTTAGGTGCTTGAGTTTGGTGTGTTGTAGTTGTAAGGTGGAGTGGGAAACTGTCTACAGTCACCACAGAAAAAGGGTACATCTGGAGCTAGCCAATCAAGCAGTATTTGAGGCCAAACAGAGTTAAATCTTACTGCCTCATACAGGAAAGGCAACATGTTTCATACCTGTTTTCTGACAAGGGAGCATAAAATCACTTCTCCTCTAGTTAGGTTACCTGATCCCTAACTATGGCTGGCTTGATTAGGATGATCTTCTTTAGTTAGAGCTTAGCCTCCTAGCAAAAATAAATATTCCATAGCTCCGTAGAGAGCATGGAGGAGACAATCCCTGTCTCCTGTGAATGTTTATCCAACTCTTGTTTAGCAAGTGTTTTAAAAGGAATTTGAGCAACTACTTTGTGCTTTTTGGTTTTTGGATTTGTTTTCCGAAAAACACTCTAGCATCTGTCCATCTGCATCCTTCTGAACTCTGATTCTTTAGTACAAAAACTTTCCTGCACTGAAAGTCAGTAAATCTTGGGGTCATAAGCTGAGGAAATCACACTGGAATTCAGGATTCAGAAGTCACTTCAGTTATTCTAAGGTTATCATTGTATATTCTCTTTGTTCATACAAACAAAGCCCCTAATGAGGAATTTACTTTTAGTGATTACTTTCTGGGATATATGAAGTATGTGAATTGAATTAATTGCTTGAAAGCTGCTTTTGTTTCTAGTCAAAGGTGTCAACGCATTTTTCTTTCTTGATAATTACAGGAGACAATTTGAGGAAATGGCATCCCACTTTAATATGGGATCAGTGGAAGAACTGGCAGAACATGTTGCAAAAGCTACGTCAGAAACAAGGCAGAAGATGTTGAAGGAATTCTATGTTTTCAGGCATCCAGAGGTGGAGTCTTTCTTTCCGGTTGAAATACCAGCACAAGCTTCACATGACTGTGAGGAAAGAGAATTGGGTACAACACATGCCAGAAAAAGAAGATCCATTGTTAGTTTTGGAAGATCGATGTCTAGATCTTCATCAGCTAAAGGTCTACTTCTGAGTGGTACTACAGAAACACAGAGCCAGCAGAGCCATAAGGTAGAAGCAGAGCAACTTCACAATGACTCCTACGTGCAAGATAAGTGTGTTGATGCAAAATATAAACAGTCACCCAGTGTTGCTACTCAACATAACGAAAGGAGAAACAGTCAGGCATTCAAGGATTTTATGGCATCTGGCTCATTAAGCAGTAAATCAGGAATAATTGAGGTGCTGTCTGTGAAAAGTTGTGGAGGACAGCAGGACTCCAAAGGAACACAGCTGCCAAGAAAAAGATCCCTGTCTCAGTCAGAAAATAGGGAGAGAAAAGCTCAAACTTGTAAGAAAAAGTCTATTGTGGACTTACTTGGAGATACCTCTATTCTTGGTGACCTCTTCAGAAATGATGGAAATGGGCCTACAGAATCACCAAGGAAATTTCTTTCAGGGCAGGTAGAAAAATCAAAGGAGAGACCAAAAGACTTCTGGGACATGCTGAATGAGCAGAATGAGGAGAGTCTCAGAAGGCTCACAGACATAGCAGCCATAGAAAAGCTGTGTGAAAAAACACCTGATCCTTCAGGGACGGAAGGGAGAGAAGTGTGTGAAAGTTCTCTTTGGAAAAAAAATGAAAACTTTCTATGGAAAAAATACAGTCCAGATGATTCAGATGAACCATCCCCTGCTACATCTTGTAATGTAGTAAAATGAAAGTTTTCTACATTAGTTGCATTATAATTATCTTAGTTAAATGTTAAAATATGCACAACTACAGCAGTATGCAGCAAAATGAGATACCTCCATGAAATTAAAGGCAAAGTGATTATTCATATTTATGATGTTAGATTTATGTTTTATGGACATGAATATATGTATAATTACATATATAATATATATATACTATATATATAATATATAGTATATATGTTCATATATAGTACATACATACTGTATCTTATTGTAAGCTATGATATATTAGTTTTAAATTAAAGTTTTTAAAATGTTCTGAGTGCACTTTGCATTCTTACATCCTGATTTTATTTCTACACTCAGTAGCAGTACTAAGTAATTTTTTCCCTTTACTTCCATTTGGAAACCCTCGGTTGTCTCTGCAGAATCTAATGATATTAAAAGGATTTGATGGTGATACTCCATGTATTTTCTGAGCTACTAGAGACTCAGGGACTTCATGAGACAGGGATGAGGTCTTTGTGTCTAATAAACTTTGGATTCTTTTTTTCTTCTATGATTTTACTCAGTCTCTCTTTGAAGATGTGGAGTTTCTAATTACCTTCAGTACCCTATAACAGTGAGTTTCCCAGCTTGATTGATGTGAAAAATCACCAATTTTTGTTTATTCACTCTTTTTCAGTGCACAGTAAATTATGTTAAGTGTCAGATTTCATCTTTCATTACACTTTTATCTCCTATTTTTTATTTTTGTAGACTTCTGTCATGTCTTTGAGGTGGTGTGATCTGGACAATACTTTGGTGGTGTTTACTTTTCCGTGCAGGGAAAAAGCAGGAATAGTCTTTTAAAATAAAAGAATATATACACTGTTTCCTAGTGAATTTCATTAAGAATCTAATGCCATTCAGTAGTTCAGATGTATGGTTTATACTGGGAAAAATTGTTTCTTGTTTGGCTTAATAAATTAAATAACAAGTTTCACTTGTGAGCACTGTAAATTTTAAATACATTATTGTACTGCATGTGCACTTAGAAAATACGCAATTGCACATGCAGAATGCTGATTAATTTTTTTTTTCTTTAGTTATTTAAAACAAGTATTTTAGTATGAGCAATTTTGTGGGCCCCATTTTTTTTAAACTCAGGTATGCACACTCTTAAAATCAGTGAGTTATGTTTTTTAGGAAGTTAACTGTAATCTTTGGTTGAGTTAGTTCTGGTGTTGACACTGAATATTAAGTGTATTGCAGCTTGAATTCAGCTTCTACTGATAGTCAAAAGGTTTGTCATTCATATTTGTGGTGGGTTGACCCTGGCTAGAGGCCAGATGCCCACCAAAGCCCACTCTATCACTCCCCCTCCTCAGCTGGGAAGGGGGAGAAAAATATAACGAGAAGCTCGTGGGTGGAGATAAGGACGGAGAGAGATCACTCACCAGTTACTGGCACGGGCAAAACAGACTTGACTTGGGGGAAAAGCAAATTTAGTTTATTACCAATCAAAATCAGAGGATAATGAGAAATAAAACCAAATCTTAAAACACCTCCCCCACCCCTCCCTGCTTCCTGGGCTTAATTTGTTTCCCAATTTCCACCTCCTCCCCCCAGCAGCACAGGGGGACAGGGGACAGGGGCTTAAGGTCAGTTCATCACACGTTGTTTCTGCCACTCCTTCCTCCTCAAGGGGAGGACTCCTTGCCCTGCACCAGCGTGGGGTCCCTCTCACGGGAGAAAGTCCTCCACGAACTTCTCCGGAGTGAGTCCTTCCCATGACTGACGGTCCTTCACGAACTGCTCCAGCCTCGGTCCATTCCATGGTGTGCAGTCCTTCAGGA